TGCCACCCTGTCTTACCTCCAGCCAAATATTATCATTTTTCAACCTGATAAGTCGGTCGGGCCGGAAAACGATACATTCACCACCCTCAACCTTGCTATTGTGGTAAGCAAGCCCCCCCCCCGCCCCCACCCAGTAAGATTTCTGACATCTGAATATGAAACTGTAATCATAAAAAAAAATCAAATATTGGGTTTGGGTTGTCTCAAGGCTTTGGAATAATGTAATAATAATTATCAGAATAGAGCTGGAAGGGACCCTTGGAGGTCTTCTAGTCCAACCCCCTGTTCAAGCAGAAGACCCTAGACCAAATCAATCAATCAATCAATCAGTCAATCAATCCATCCATCCATCCATCCATCGATCAGAATAGAGCTGGAAGGGACCCTTGGAGGTCTTCTAGTCCAACCCCCTGTTCAAGCAGAAGACCCTAGACCAAATCAATCAATCAATCAATCAGTCAATCCATCCATCCATCCATCCATCCATCCATCCATCCATCCATCCATCAGAATAGAGCTGGAAGGGACCCTTGGAGGTCTTCTAGTCCAACCCCCTGCTCAAGCAGGAGACCCTAGACCAAATCAATCAATCAATCAATCAGTCAATCAATCCATCCATCCATCCATCCATCCATCAGAATAGAGCTGGAAGGGACCCTTGGGGGTCTTCTAGTCCAACCCCCTGTTCAAGCAGGAGACCCTAGACCAAATCAATCAATCAATCAATCAGTCAATCAATCAATAAATCCATCCATCCATCCATCCATCAGAATAGAGCTGGAAGGGACCCTTGGGGTCTTCTAGTCCAACCCCCTGTTCAAGCAGGAGACCCTAGACCAAATCAATCAATCAATCAATCAGTCAATCAATCAATAAATCCATCCATCCATCCATCCATCAGAATAGAGCTGAAGGGACCCTTGGAGGTCTTCTAGTCCAACCCTCTGCTCAAGCAGGAGACCTAGACCAAATCAATCAATCAATCAGTCAATCAATCAATCCATCCATCCATCCATCAGAATAGAGCTGGAAGGGACCCTTGGAGGTCTTCTAGTCCAACCGCTGCTTGAGCAGGAGACAGACCCTAGACCATTTCAGAGAAGTGACTGTCCAGTCTTTTCTTAAAAGCCTCCAGTGATGATGGAGCACCCACAACTTCTGGTGGCAAAGCTGTTCCACTGGTTAATTGTTCTCACTGTTAGGAAGTTTCTCCTTAATTCCAAGTTGCTTCTTTCCTTGATGAGTTTCCATCAGTTGCTTCTGGTCCTGCCTTCTTTGGAAAATAAGTTGACCCCCTACTCTTCTTTGGGGCAGCCCCTCAAATACTGGAATATTGCTATCATGTCCCCCCTAGTCCATCTTTTCTCTAGATTGGCTATACCCAAATCCCCCAATCCTATGTTTTAGCCTCCAAGCCTTTTAATCATCCTAGTAGCTCTTCCTTGCACTTTTTCCAAAGTCTCAACTTTGGAAAAGTTTGGATTTTTTTTTTTGTAATGTGGTAATTCAAGCCTGTTTGCATTGATTTGCGTCCCTGTGTCCAAAATATAAGTTTATAGCAGTGGTAAAATTCAAAAACTTTACCTACCTGTTCTGTGGTCATAGCTTGGTGGTCATGTGTCCAGGCGGGCGTGCCTTTTTCGGGCATGTGACTGGATGGGTGTGGCTGCACAACTGACTCACACACAATGCCAAAGCAGCTGGACTCCACACAGAATGGCCTCTGCAACAAGCAGGAACCTCACAGAGTCCCAAGAGAGCTCAGAAACAAACTACCACACTTGAAAATAACACAAAAGCTGCACAACTGACTCACACACAATGCCAAGGCAGCTGGACTTCACACAGAATGGCCTCTGCAACAAGCAGGAACCTCACAGAGTCACAAGAGAGCTCAGAAACAAACTATCACACTTGAAAATAACACAAAAGCTGCACAACTGACTCACACACAATGCCAAAGGAGCTGGACTTCACACAGAATGGCCCCTGGAACAAGCAGGAACCTCACAGAGTCACAACAGAGCTCAGAAACAAACTATCACACTTGACACAAAAATAACACAAAAGCTGCACAACTGACTCACACACAATGTAAAAGCAGCTGGACTCCACACAAAATGGCCCCTGGAACAAGCAGGAACCTCACAGAGTCCCAAGAGAGCTCAGAAACAAACTATCACCCTTGAAAATAACACAAAAGCTGCACAACTGACTCACACACAATGCCAAAGCAGCTGGACTCCACACAGAATGGCCCCTGCAACAAGCAGGACCCTCACAGAGTCCCAAGAGAGCTCAGAAACAAACTATCACACTAAGGAGAAATTTCCTAATTTCCCAATCACCCAATAGAATAGAGGCTTTCCAAAAGAGCGAGGGAAGCACACCCCAAAAGGACAGTGCCAGGAACCACTAAAACAATGCAGAAAACTTAAAACAGCCATTCCTCTTTTTCAAAAAAGTCAACCCCAAAGCAAACACAGCAGCTGTGAGGGAAATTAAGAGCAGCTGCTCAGGCTAATTGAAATCCTGGGCATGCTGCCAAAATCCATTAACCCTTCCAACTCTGTTATTCTATGTTCTCTATGTTCTAAATTGGGTGCTTCACAGCAGAAGCCATGCAGCTGGCTGGACCACACATCCCTTAAATTCACAGGCTGCATTTATTTTTTTATTTTATTTAAATTTGCATACCACGCCCTTCTCCTACTGGACTCAGGGCGGTGCACAGCCAAGTAAAAAACATTTCAATACAAAATTTAAAAATTTAAAAGAGTTATACATTTTGGCCGAAAATTTAAAAAAAAACCTCACAACTAAAACCCATTAGACAATTAAAAATCTAATATCTCAAGCTCCATCATTGTCCCCTCCTGTATCTTTTCCCCCAGGAAGAAACTAGAAGTAGCCAACACTGCAGCAGCTATAAAAGGTCTTGGGGAAACTCCAAGGAGTATCAGCGGATCACTGAAGTGTCATTTAATACTCTTTATGATGAAAATGTTTGTAATCTTGTCCTTCTTCCTGAAGGGAAGAGATTAATCCCATTGATGGAATAATAAATTAAACTGACATTGATGTCAGTTTCTGTTCTTTATTGACTTGATTCAGCGTGTATCGGCCGCATTCCAGCTGCAACTGTTAAGTGGAGCTATTAACTGAAGGGAGAGAGAGGGAGAGGGGGAAGAGAGAGAGAGGGAGGGAGGGAGAGAGAGAACCTCTCCTGCGCTTTATTTTTAACCGGTTCTCCGAACTGCCTAAGGAATTTACTAACGGTTTGGGCGAATCGGTGAGAACCGGCTGGATTTCACCTGTGAGTTATAGGCATATTTCATATTTACTGCAGGCTGCACCGGCTTTGTTTAAAAACGGATTTCTTCAAACCTTGATGAATATCTGGATGAAATCGTCAAAATCAAATTTCCTCCAGACTAGAACTGTGAAAGAAATACTTTGGGGCTATGAAGATCCTTTCTTGAAAAAACTCCCAATTATAAAAATTGATAGAGTTGTTGGAGTATTCTATCCTGTAAGTAGGAACTCAGAAGGGGGAAAATATTAATTACCGGTGATGTGATTTTAAGAAAAGTATTCTAGATAAGAAGCCTTGCTGATATTATTCTATTCCATTGGATGTTAGGAATAAAAGTCATAGCAAAAAAATGGGATTTTGATAGGGGTTTAAAAATAATCTCCTTATTTCGTTGGACGATATACCAATCTGAGTGCAGCTGATCTCAAAAGCTAAGCAGATTGAATATCCAAGAAGCAGATAGAGACAGAGACAAAGATTTAAGAGAGGAATTCGGGAGGCAAGTCAAGAAAAGAAAAAAAGCATAGCAATTGAAGTATTGAAGCGGGCAAGAGACGATGGATAGATGATTTTTTAAAATTGTTCTGATTTTCTTTTCCTTTTCTCTCTCTCTCTTTTCCTTTTTTCTTCTTTTTTTAGGTAGGTGACATGGTTAGAAGTTAAATAGGAAAGAAAGAAAAAGTCTCTTAACAAAAGGTGATATGATTAAAAGCTAGAAAAAGTGATAGAAATAAGAGAAGGGAATATGGTTATCCAACAGGTTTTCAGGGAGAACCTATTGGATATTTTGAAAAAGACACGGTTGCCTTTTTTTGGTTTATTTTGAAAAAGACACGGATGCCTTTTTTTTTTCTTTTTTTCTTTTTGAAGCTGACTCAGGACATCTTCAAATTTTTTTTTTTTATTTCCTGAACTGCGACGATTTCCATGTTTGAATTTTTAGCTAAAAGGAAAGGTCTCCGTGTCCTAGGTACATGGACATGCTGGGTAAAAATCAGAAAATAAAAAATGTTAAACATAACAGTGATTTGGCACTACAAATTTTTAAACCTTAAAAAAGGGGGGGAAAAAATCGTTTTGATGATCAAAACTGCTTGTCGCAAAAATTAACTTTTTGTTTTTCTCTCTTTCTCTTATTCTAGTACAACGGAACTTTTGATGGCCCTTACCGGATTTATAGTGGCAAAGATGATATAAACAAGAAAGGAACTATCGTCACTTTTAATAATAGCAGGTATAATATATTTGGGGAAATGTAGCTGTATTTTTTTTCCTTCAAAATTGAGAGTTTAATTTAGCGGGCCTGTTCTTTTTTCTTGAACGCTTGCAGCATCTCCGTTCTTAAATTTCCTAGCGTCGGTGCAAAATATTCTAAGCCTAGGGAGATGTGTTGGTTGTCATATGGTACAGGCGGTCCTCGACGTACGACGACAGTGGGCCCCAGAATTTATGTTGCTAAGTGAGACAGTTGTTAAGCGAGTTTTGCCCCCATTTTATCACTTTTCTTGCCACGTTGGTTGCATGTTATTTTTCTCTTTTCCTTTTTTTTTTTTTTCTTTTTCAAAGGACCCTCCAATACTGGACAAGTTATTGTAATATGGTGAACGGCACTGGTAAGTATGTCAGTGGAACAGCTCTGGATTTCTGTGCAGAACCCACACTGTATAAATCTCGGCAGGCGTTAAAAATACACATGCTGAAATTCCCGCATCAACGCATCAAATGAATGAATGAATGAATGAATGAGGGGGGAAGGGAGGGAGGGAGGGAGGGAAGGAAGGAAGAGAAAGAAAGAGAAAGAGAAAGAAAGAAAGAAAGAGAAAGAGAGAGAAAGAGAAAGAAAGAAAGAAAGAAAGAAAGAAAGAAAGAAAGAAAGAAAGAAAGAAAGAAAGAAAGAAAGAAAAAGAGAAAGAAAGCCACAGCTTCTTTCCTTTGGCAGCATGCATTAAAAATATTTAAGGTTGGAACTGAAGTCCAGGTGCTAAACTCCTAAAGATTCCCACATCAATGCATCAAATGAATGAATGAATGAATGAATGAGGGAGGGAAGAAAGAAAGAAAGAGAAAGAAAGAAAGAGAAAGAAAGAGAAAGAAAGAAAGAAAAAGAAAAAAGAAAGAGAAAGAAAGAAAGAAAGAAAGAAAGAAAGAAAGAAAGAAAGAAAGAAAGAAAGAAAGAAAGAAAGAATAAAATAGTGCCACTGCTTCTTTCCTTTGGCATTAAAAATATTTAAGGTTGGAACTGAAATCCAGGTGCTAAACTCCTAAAGATTTCCACCTTGACACATCAAATGAATGGATGAATGAATGAATTGAGGGAGGGAAGAAAGAAAGAGAAAGAAAGAAAGAGAAAGAAAGAAAAAGAAAGAAAGAAAAAGAAAAAAGAAAGAGAAAGAAAGAAAGAAAGAAAGAAAGAAAGAAAGAAAGAAAGAAAGAATAAAATAGTGCCACTGCTTCTTTCCTTTGGCATTAAAAATATTTAAGGTTGGAACTGAAATCCAGGTGCTAAACTCCTAAAGATTTCCACCTTGACACATCAAATGAATGGATGAATGAATGAATGAATGAAGAAAGAAAGAGGGAGGGAGGGAGGGAGGGAGGAATCTGGAAGTTTTTAAGAAGAGATTGGAACCCCGTTTTTCTGAAATGGTCTAGGGTTTCCTGTCTAATCAAGGGGTTGGACTAGAAGACCTCCAAGGTCCCTTCCGACACTGTCATTCTGTATTTTTTGAAACCCATAGTCAGGCTCGCAAACTCACGAGATGCTCTCATTGTAACTCACAGATGCGACTTCGTTCCACCCTTTTGTCCAAAAGAGCGAAAAGCTTTATTTCTTTTCCTCGGATGTTTGCAGGTAAACGATCTTGAACAAATGGTGGGGAGGGGGTTGTCATTCCTTTGCTTCAGGGACCCAGGGAGACCTCAACCTATGGCCGCAATAGCGAATTTCTGTTGCTAAGTAAGGGAAGTTGCGGATGCTCCAACACTGGAAATTTTTAAGAGGAGGTTGGCTAAGCACGAGGTTGGACTAGAAGACCTCCAAGGTCCCTTCCAGCTCTATTCTGATTGATTGATTGATTGATTGATTGATTGATTGATTGATTGAAATGGCCTAGGGTCTCCTGCTTGAGTAGAGGGTTGGACTAGAAGACCTCCAAGGTCCCTTCCAACTCTATTCTGACTGACTGACTGATTGATTGATTGATTGAAATGGCCTAGGGTCTTCTGCTCGAGCAGGGGGTTGGACTAGAAGACCTCAGAGGTCCCTTCCAGCTCTATTCTGATTGATTGATTGATTGATTGAAATGTCATATGGTCTCCTGCTCAATCGGGGTGAGACTAGAAGACCTCCAAGGTCCCTTCCAGCTCTATTCTGATTGATTGATTGATTGATTGATTGACTGACTGATTGATTGAAATGGCCTAGGGTCTTCTGCTCGAGCGGGGGGTTGGACTAGAAGACCTCCAAGGTCCCTTCCAACTCGGTTATACCATTAACGCCTATTATTTTCGCGTCTCGCAGGTCCGTCTTTGCAACATTCCAAAAGGATGTGATAGTGAAGGACATCCCACTGTATCGCTTCACTGTCCCTCCTTCGTCTTCTGCTTCCTCCGTCACCAATCCTGATAATATCTGTTTCTGCACCGATTGGGAGATAACCTATAACTGTTCCGTGAGTGGGTTCCTGGATATCAGCAGCTGCAAACAAGGTAACCCAAAATATGACGGAAAGGAGGGGGGAATAAGGAGGAAGGAAAGGGGGGGGAATAAGGGGATTCTATGCCTGGGAGCCAAGGGGGCGCCGGGATAGGGAATACAATACAGGCAGCCCTCGTCTTATGCCCAAAACCGAGCGCAACCATTCCGTCGCTAAATGAGATGGTCGTGAAGTGAAGTTTTGTCCCCACTGGTTAAGGGTCTCCCTGCAGTTTGTTCAATTAGTGACAGGGTTGTCCAACGAATCCGGCTTCCCCGTCGAAGGTCGCCAGAAGGGATCGCGTGATACCCTCCACCCAGCCCGCCCCCCCTCGGGAACTCTGCGACCGTCGTAAATAGGAATCAGTTGCCAAATGTCCGAATTTTGATTGAGAATGCTGCGAAGGTCATAACCGTGAAAAATGGTCTTAAGTCTGAAATGTCTCCTGCTTGGGGAGAAGGTTGGAATAGATGACCTATGAGGTCCCTTCCGACTTCTTTGTATAAATATCCACATACAAAGGAACCCAGAGCACATTAGAGGGAAGCGCCCTGGGATCCAACGGGAGACCGAAAGTTCGGAAGACAGAAACCCCTGGTTCCGCTGACCGACGCAGATTGGACATTATGTGTGACATTAAATCGGAGGTGGGATTCAGCCGGTTCAGACCGGTAGTAGTGACCTGCGGGCGGGCCGCCTACCTGCCCCGGCACTATGCCGTCCTATTTAGCCACGTTTTCTAAGCTGTGTGCATGTGTGCAAGTCCCGCGCACGTTTTCGGTGTTCGGTGAACCAGTAGGTAAATTACACGAAGCCCAACTCTGGACATTATCATGGGGCACCTTATATTCTGCAGATTTCCATCCAGCTTCTGGAACAGAACGGCATTTGACGATCCCGTTTTGTCAGAGTTTCTTGCACAAATCCAATCCAGAAGCGCACACAGATAAACTAAATCAGCTGGGTTCATTGACTTCTTTCTATTCATAACAACACATAAAGTATATTTACAGTACCGACAGTTGATTCTTCATCTCAGATCAGCGGACATGTTCTCTGCACAGAGTACAGCAGAGAGCTTAACGCACACACTGGTTTCAGTGTCTCTTCTCTGCACAGACTCAGAAGCTGCAGACTAAGACTACAGTCTGTCTCGGCTCCCAGTTGGCTGACTTTGTTACTATGTCTTCCCGGTCATGAATATTCTGACACGTTTGCCAACTGTGCTCCTTTGCCTTTTTTTTAATTTAATTTAATTTTATTTCCACAGGGAAACCAGTCTACCTCTCGTCGCCCCATTTCCTGAATGTAGATCAGAGAGAATTTAAATATGTGAAGGGGTTGGAACCCAATAAGAAAGAACATAGCACGTTTCTTGATGTGGAACCGGTAAGCAGAGTGCAGATTGTACCGTTGAAGGAGAATTATCTGTAGCTCTTTAATGCTGCTAATCCTTGACGATTCAAAATTGGCAAAATTCAAAGTATTTGTTTGTTTGTTTTTTTTCAGATCACGGGGTTAACCTTGACCTTTGCCAAAAGGTTGCAGGTGAATTTATTGGTGAGACCCAATCTAAAAATCACGTAAGTTTCAGTGGTTCTTTTATGAGCCATTGGAGAAAGGTTGGCCCAGAAAGGTTGAACCCCCTCCCGGTTCCGCCCGGTTCCGCTGAGCCGGTAGCGGTGACGATATGACATCACCGAACCAGCTTCTTCTAATCTTGTTGATTTCTTTCTTTTTTTTTTTCGTTTTCTGCAGCGCGCTAAGAAACGTCAAACATCACTTTTACTTTCCTATTTTGTGGCTGAATGAGGTGAGTGGGTTTTTTTTCTTGGGGGGGGGGTTTGTCAGCCTTCCTGTTGAGTTTGGCTCTTCGAACCCAATTGGGGTCCCTGTGGATTGTGAATCCGCAAAGAATCCGCAAAGGAGGCCTGGAAATGATCACCGGGGAGGGACGAAGAGAAGAAGGGTTGCGGGATTTGGGCAGGGGCAATCTAGAGAAGAGAAGGGCAGCAGTATTCCAGTATTTGAGGGGCTGCCCCAAAGAAGAGGAGGGAGTCCACTTATTTTCTGAAGCCCCTGAAGGCAGGACGAGAAGCAACGGATGGAAACTCATCAAGGAGAGAAGCAACCTAGAACTAAAAGAGAAACTTCCGGGCAGTTAGAACCGTTAATCGGTGAAACCTTGTATATATACAGTCTGGTGATGGGATCAGTTTGTTACTTGCAATAATCTTCGTCCCTGGGCACACTGTTTTATGCAAAATTGTGCAAATTGCAAGGCAGCACTGATTTGGGCATAGAGAAGAGCCTTGCTGGGTATTCAGGCTGAATTGTTCAGCTGAAATGATGTTGAAAAATGCTAATCTATCTATCTATCTTTCTTTCTTTCTTTCTTTCTTTCTTTTTTTCTTCCTTCCTTCCTTTCCTTCCTTCCCTCCCTCCCCTTTCTTTCTTTCCTTCCTTCTTTCCCTCCCTCTTCCTTCCTTCCTTTTTCTTTCTTTCTTCCTTTTTTCCTTCCTTTCTTCCCTTCCTTCCTTTCCTTCCTTCTTTCCCTCCCTCCCTTTCTTTCTTTTTCCTTCCTTACTTCCTTCCCTCCCTTTTTTTTCTTCCTTTCCTTCCTCTTTCCCTCTCTCCCTCCTCCTTCCTTTCTTCTTTCTTTCTCTCTCTCTTCCTTCCTTTCCTTCCTTCCTTCCCTCCCTTTCTTTCTTCCTTTCCTTCCTTCCTTCTTCTTTCTTTTTCTTCCTTCCTTTTTTCCTTCCTTCCTTTTTCTTTTTCTTTCTCTTTCCTTCCTTCCCTCCCTCCCCTCCCTCCCTCTTTCTTTCCTTCCTTCCTTTTCTTCCTTCCTTCCTTCTTTCCTTTTTTCTCTCATTTTCTTTCATTTTCTCCAGTCGGCGATTATCAGCGATGAGAAAGCAGAATTTTTCCGATCGAAAGTGACCAACAAGATCAAGTTGCTGCAGCTCCTTCAATTGGCGCTAATGATCGTCGGCTCCGTGACATTCCTGGGATTCCTCTTTGCCTTTTTCATTTGCAAAGGGAAGAACCCAAAATGAGTCAAGTCAGGTTTAGAATTTAAGATCTCTCAGTTGATTCGTTGATAATCGGAAGGACTCTCGGTTCCACCAGATTCTGGGTTCCGTGGTGGGACCTTAAAAATTGTGCGTAGCGAGAAAAGAGGGAAAGAATGGCACAGCTTTCCAACGAATAGATAATATTCGATGTGAATTTCACACCCAGCCAGATTTTCAAACTTTGTGAGTGATGCACAACTTTGGAAAGATGGCTGTCGTGCAGGGCAGGTGCCGTGTCACAAATGGCCCCTGTTTCTTAGCGGTTTCGTTTTTAACAGTGTATTTGTCAGCGCGACTCGCTTAACAAACCTTTCAATTAGCAACGGGACATCCTGTGTTTTCCATATAGCAACCCCCTTTTCGGAATCCTGAATCGGGACGTTCGCTCTCCCACGCGCTCTTCGCTGAATTTAGGGGACTCTGTTTTTAACTAGGTAGACTCCAGCCATTCACTATTTTATTGTCATTTTGGGTTTTTTTTTTTTTTTTTTTTTTGAAACTGTGTTTGTTGTTAACATTGTGAGGGCCCCCCCACCCCAGAGTTGGTTTTGAAATCAAGTGGCATATAAGTCAAATAACACTGCAAGCATCAGCCCCTGTTTATGAACAGAGAAAGGAGAGAGAGATACCTAAATGAATGGGTTAGACTAGAAGACCTCCGAGGTCCCTTCCAACTCTGGTATTCTACGAGACCGCCTTCTGCCGCCAATAGCTTCCCACCGGCCAGTTCGCTCGCACAGAGAGGGCCTCCTCAGGATGCCGTCGGCCAGACAGTGCCGGCTGGCGACCCCCAGGGGGAGAGCCTTCTCTGTGGGGGCACCTGCCTTCTGGAACGATCTACCCCCCCGAGATACGCACAATACCAGACCTCTGGACTTTTCGTCGGGCCCTGAAAACACATCTATTTCATCTAGCCAGGCTGGCTTGATCCCATCCGTTCGGTTTTAATTTGTAATTGGTTTTAACTGGGTTGTTTTAAATTGATGGCCGAAATTATTTAATGTCTTTTAAACTGTTTTTAAATTTTATATGTTGTGTTTTACCGTGGCTGTTCACCGCCCTGAGTCCTGTTGGAGAAGGGCGGTATACAAATAAAATAAAATAAAATAAAATAAATAAATTACTATTTTCTATATTATTATTATATTCTATTTTTATTTTCTATATTCTATATTATTCTATTATTATTTTCTATATTCTATTCCATATTCTATTCTATTATTTTGAATTCTATTCTATTATTTTCTATATTCTATATTATTCTATTTTCTATCTTCTAGTCTATTACTATTTTCTATATTATTATTATATTCTATTTTTATTTTCTATATTCTATATTATTCTATTCTTATTTTCTATATTCTATTCCATATTCTATTCTATTATTTTGAATTCTATTCAGTTCTTATTTTCTATATTCTATTCTATTTATTCTATATTCTATTCTTATTTTCTATATTCTATTCTATTTTATTCTATATTCCATTCTATTCTATTCTATTCTACTCTGGTGTCTTTTTTCTATTCTATAAAGTATCTTTTTTCAAAAGTTAACCCTTTCATCATAAAATAACAACACCTTTTGTTATTTTAATGATAATCACGGAATCACCATGTATGAAAACAGCCAGAATGGGGGCTGGTTATATATATATATCCATGAAAATCAAACATTCTCTGAGAAAGATAAATTTTAATATGCATAATATATGCCACTTGGACACTTCAGTTTTATCTAGACTTGCTTTGTGTTTGCTCGCTACTCTTTTCTCGGGCTCGGCTCTGACATTCACGAATCCTGGCTTGTAATAATGGACTTGGGAACACGGTGGTTTCGATGACCCGGAACAGGAATCTAAAATGGAATGAGATCTTTCAAGCAAGCGGGGAAGGGATGGGGTTAAATTATACAGGGAGTCCTTGGGTTACGACCACAATCGAGCCCCAAATTTATGTCGCTAAGCGAAAACGTTTCTTAAGCGAGTTTTGCTCCGTTTTACAACTTTCCTTGCCGATGTTGTTAAGTGAGCCATCAGGTGGGTTATGTTATTAACAGGGTTCCTGTTGGAACTAAGTTTAACACGGATCCGCTTAACAGGAAAAGTCAAGAAAAGTCGTAACTCACTTTTTAAAAAATTTCTCACTTAGCAACGTAAGTTTTTGGGCTCAATTGTGGTCATAAGTCAAGGACTGCCTGTACACTGTGGAAAATCAGGGAGGATTTGATATTTGCTAGAGGGAGGATTGCATAACAGGGCGTTTCACACACTCCTTACCCAACTCAGAAGTAAATTAATGCAAGAATTCCATTTTTTTCCATTTTCTTCCATCAGAATTTCCATTTTCCCCATGCTAAATTTCCATTTTCTTCCATGCCAGAATTTCCATTTTCCCCATGCCAGAATTTCCATTTTCCCCCATGCAGAATTTCCATTTTCCCCCATGCAGAATTTCCATTTTCCCCATGCCAAATTCTCCAGGAAGAACTTCGAAAAGAGATTCTTGCTCCTCTTACTGGATGAGAGCTAGCATGGGAAAAAGCAAGATGGATAGGTGGCAGATCTAGGTAGGTTAATAAAATGAATTAAGTACCTTGGAAGCAAAGCCAGGGTAATTGCGATCATGAAGTCCAGATAAAACATCGGATTTGTCAATTGCCTCTCGATAATCCAGTATGGATTTGCTGGTGGGTTACAAAGGACGCAGAAAGCTCCCAAAAGCCCAAGAACGAAGAAATATAAAAAGATGCTCCCAGCGAAAACAGAGAAATGTATAATAGTCTGAAACAAATTTTTAAAAAAAACAAAAAACAGAACGGTACAGAATTTTCGTTCGATCAGATCTGCTTCCGTTTTACAGATTAACAGCTGGAAGGGACCTTGTAGGTCATCTAGTCCAACCCCCCAACATCAGGAGACCTTACATCCCTTCTGGAAGGGTTCGTGCAGGGAAGGATTGGTTGGGTTTTAATCTCATCTGACTAAGCATTCGGAGAGAATAATCGCTTTCCCAAGTTCTCACTTGAACTTCCTGATACAATAACCAGTGGAACAACTTGCCACCAGAAGCTGTGGGTAATCCGTTATTGGGGTTTTTAAGAAGAGACTGGATAACCATTTGATTTATTGATTGATTGATTGAAATACTATAGAGGGTCTCCTATAGAAAGCAGGGGGTAGGACTAGAAGACCTCTAAGGTCCCTTCCAGCTCCATTCTGATTGATGTATATTTAAAAGTGTAACGTCCTTCTGCATCTTCCTCAAGATTGCAAAACGAATGATTTTGTATTAATTCTGCATCGATAGCAATGTCCAATTCCGGCAAGCAATACTTTAAGTTTGCTTATTTTCCACCGGGAAGTAGGTTTCCTTACCCAACGTTGGAGCAAAAATTAGAAAGAAATTAAATATTTTTGGAGTGTTTTTTCTGAGGTTTTATAATCAATGTTTTTTTTTTTTAAAGTCCCATAATCAAACTCAGCAGCGACAATTTCTCTTAAGATATAAATACGACCCTTCTCTATCTCTCAGGTACTTGAGTTTGTCTTCAAATGAAGGACAACTAAAATTAAACGCCGTGTTTAAATTTTAACACTTTTGTTACCTAGAAAAGGCACTGTTCAATTTAGAAATGGAATCTGCGATATAAAAATAAATAACGAGAAATAAAATTAAATGCCCTGAAAGGGAATTTGATTTCCCCATTTTAAATGCAGTCTAAAAACAAATATTTCATTTGGACGGGGACTTCAGAAAAGCTCGGTGGCTTTTCGGTTTTTACACTTTTATTAATCAATCGTTAGTTTATCCAAATAATAAAATGCATAAGAAAAAGGAAAAGAAGGAGAACACGTGAGATGCTCACCACATTTTTGCTTTCAATCAGAAGATGCAGCAATATTATAAAAAACATGGTCGTGTTCATACGATTTCCAAAAGAATAGACGTCTATGTCAGAATCTTGGAAGGTCTGCAAAGGAATCGTTCTATCACCATCAAACAGAGATCTTTTATCTTTTATATCAGAATGGCATACCGCAAATTGAGAGCATAGCTTAAAGCAATATTAAACGAGTGGGGGGGGGTTGATTCAGAAATTCCTAATGTTGATTTCAGGTAGGGCTATGAAGTTTCATACCAATAAACATGTAAAACATGTATATGTTTGTGTATCTATATTTTTTCTTGACTGTACACCGCCTTGAGTCCTACGGGAGAAAGGCGGTATAGAAATATAATAAATAAATAAATAAATAAATAAATAAATAAATAAATAAATAAATAAATAAAACGAGTGTGTGCTATTTTTTTTTTTAAAAAAACAAAATTTAAAACAAGCACAGATACCCCTCAATTTACGACCCCCAACGGAGCCCGCAATTTCTTCATCATCATTATTATTATTATTATTATTATTATTATTATTATTATTATTATTATTAAAGTTTACTTTTTCGTTTACTCACGTGTCGTCTGGGTTTCCATTTCCTTTTTTTGTCTTTTCTCTCATTTACTTTTCTCCTATCCAATTTGTTAATCTCTAATATTTTATTACAAGCACAGATACCCCTCAACTTACGACCCCCCACAATTTCTGTCGCTAACTGAGATCTTTGTTAAGTAAGTTTTGCCCCGTTTTACGGCTTTCCTTGCCTCAGTCCTTCAATTGGTTCACACAGTTGTTAAGTGAATCCCCACTGTCAGACGGTGGCAAAAGGGGATCTCGCGACCCCGGGACGCTGCGACTGTCATAAATACGAGTCTTTTACCTAAGTGTAAAAGTGTCTAAGTGTCTGAATTTGGATCATGGGGAGGGAAATGCTGCAATGGTCATAAGTGTAGAAAAATGGTCATAAGTCACTTTTTCAATGCCGGTCACTAAACGAACGGTTGTAAGCCAAGGACTACCTGTAGCCGATTTTATAATACTTACGAAGTAACAGATAAAAAAACAAACGAGACTTTGGTAAAATGCATCCATCAAGTTCATTGCAAAGGCTATCCCCACGTAGGGCTGAAAAACAAAACGAAATAATAAAATAAAACAGGCTGGTTACATTTGATGATTTGAATTATTAACCTTTACATTAAGTTTGCATGTCTAAAGGCCAGTGGTGGGTTTCAAATTTTTTTACTACCGGTTCTGTGGGTGTGGCTTGGTGGGCGTGGCATGGCTTGGTGGGCATGGCTTGGTGGGCGTGGCAAGGGAAGGATACCGTAAAATTTATCCGTTAAATCCATCTCCATCCCGTTGGTTAGAAACCTACCAAAGAACATTTTACAACTCCAACTTTTTCAAAAAGTTAAAAAAAGGAACGAATTATAAAAACGATGGTTCAAGGAGCAAGGAATTGTGAGAACCGATGGGTCGATAAATGATTTTTTGAGCCAAGCCCCCCAAAATAAATACCTCGTTTTTCTGACTCGCTTTGTAAAGTTCTGGATACTTCATGAGCGTTTCTGCGGAAATATCTTTATCTAGAACCCCGTATATGATGGGTGGGACCGAGGTGAAGAGAAGATTGAAGAAAATCAGGCTCCAATAATCGATCATGGGAGTTCCTGAAAACCCACAAAAGAATTGATACCAGAACAGGAGATTGACGTATGCCTGCAATGATTAAAAAAAAACAAAAAAAGGGACAATGCGTTGCGGGAGATGCTGGGAAGAAATTTAATGGACTTCAGAGTACAGAAATACAGACAAGAATACTAATCTTCTACATTTATTGTTCTCAGCTGCCCGACTTCCTTCCAAGCTCTGGAAACAGCATGGAGGGCAAAAGTGAGATTAAGGTTTGTTAATCTTTGGAGGCTTAACCAACCTTAATGTTAGTGTGAAAACAGCAAATGTGAGTTTTTGTAATTAGACTATCTCAGGGGTGAAATCCAGCAGGTTCTGACAGGTTCTGGAGAACTGGTAGCAGAAATTTTGAGCGGTTCGGACAACCGGCAAATGCCATCTCTGGCTGGTCCCAGAGTGGGGTGGGAATGGAGATTTTGCAGTATCCCTCCCCTGCCATGCCCACCAAGCCACATCAACAGAACCGGTAATAAAAAAATTTGGATTTCACCACTGGACTATCTCCATTTTTGATAGCACCCCAAAGGTAGGATTCATATAAGAATCAAGTCCTC